GGATTTGAAATAGCTCAGCTTGAATTTCATCACCTCCACTAGCTTTGTTCGTAGTGATACTTCCTAAAGCGTACTAGACTTTGCATTCCAGGATGTCTGGCTCTAGGTGAGTGATTACACCATCATGGTTACCTGGGTCATGAAGATCTTTTTTGTACAGTTCTTCTGTGTATTCTTGCCACCTCTTCTTAATATCTCCTGCTTCTGTTAGGTCCACACTGTTTCTGTCCTTTATTGTGCCCATCTTTGCATGTAATATCCCCTTGGTATCTCTGATTTTCTTGAAGAGGTCTCTAGTCTGTCCCATTCTGTTGCTTTCCTCTGTTTCTTTGCATTAATCACTTAGGAAGTCATCTCTCCTTGCTATTCTTTGGAACTCTGCCTTCAGATGGATGTATCTTTCCTTTCCTCCTTTGCCTTTCACTTCTCTTCTTTTCTCAACTATTTGTAAGGTCACTTTAGTGACAGCCATTTTGCCTTTTTGCGTTTCTTTTTCTTAGGGATGGTTTTGTCACAGCCTCGTGTACGATGTTACGAACCTCCATCTATAGTTCTTCAGTCACTGTCAGATCTAATCCCTTGAATCTACTTGTCACTTCCACTGTATAATTGTAAGGGATTTGATTTAGGTCATACCTGAATGGTCTAGTGGTTTTCCCTACTTTTGTCAATTTAAGCCTGAATTTTGGAATGAGTCATGATCTGAGGCACAGTAAAGCTCCACATCTTGTTTTTGCTGACTATACAGAGCTTCTCCATCTTTGGCTGCAAAGAATATAATCAATCTGATTTCAGTATTGACCATCTGGTGCTGTCCATGTGTCGAGTCTTCTCTTGTGTTGTTGGAAGAGGGTGTTTGCTATGACCAATGCGTTCTCTTGGCCAAACTCTGTTAGCCTTTGCTTTGCTTCATTTTGCACTCCAAGGCCAAACTTGCCTGTTACTCCAGGTGTCTCTTGACTTCTTACTTTTGCATTCCCATCCTATGATGAAAAGGTGTTAGTTTTTTTGGGTGTTAGTTCTAGAAGGTTTTGTAAGTCTTTATAGAACCGTTCAACTTCAGCTTCTTCAGCATTACTGGTTGGGGCATAGACTCGGATAATTGTGATATTGAATGGTTTGCCTTGGAAATGAACAGAGATCATTCTGTTGTTTTTGAGATTGCATCCAAGTACTGCATTTTGGACTCTTGTTGACTATAAATGAGGGCTACTCCATTTCTTCTAAGGGATTCTTGCCCACAGTAGCAAATATAATGGTCATCTGAATTAAATTCATCCATTCCAGTTGATTTTAGTTCACTGATGCCTAAAATGTTGATATTCACTCTTGCCATCTCCACTGTTTGACCACTTCCAATTTACCTTGATTCATGGACCTAACATTCCAGGTTCCTATGCAGTATTGTTCTTTGTAGCATTAGACTTTGCTTCTATCACCAGTCACATCCACAACTGGGCGTTGTTTTTGCTTTGGCTCCATCTCTTCATTTTTTCTGGAGTTATTTCTCCACTCTTCTCCACTAGCGTATTGGGTACCTGCTGACCTGGGGAGTTCATCTTTCAGTTTTCTGTCTTTTTGCCCTTTTATACTGTTCATGGGGTTCTCAAGGCAAGAATACTGAAGTGGTTTGCCATTGCCTTCTCCAGTGGACCACGTACTTTGTCAGAACTCTCCACCATGACCTGTCCATCGTGGGTGGCCCTACACAGCATGGCTCCTAGTTTCACTGAGTTAGACAAGGCTGTGATCCATGTGATCAGTTTGATTAGTTTTCTGTGATTGTGTTTTTCATTCTGTCCGCCCTCTGATGGATAAGGATAAGAGGCTTGTGGAAGCTTCCTGACGGGAGGGACTTCAGTGCTTATGACTACCAAACTGTAACTCGGTTCCTTTCCTTCCCTCGATTCCTTCCAAGACTACACATAAATTAAAGGCAGTTTCTGTTCCTGCCTTGTCAGTTTATTGGCATCCTTAAGTAGTGATTTCCCATTTTACAAGAAATGACCCATTAAATGTTACATGGTGTAGCAGAATTTAAAAGTGCTATGCAGATGCAAGGTGCTTTTATTAGCATTCTCTTAAATATAAACAAAAGTATCATGTCTTTTTCTTAACTCTTTTGTCTTCTGTACCATTGAGGGCATATAGAAATAGAAATCAATTCAGCATTATTGAAGGAACCCAGTGTTAGTAATGTTCACCGACACCAGGACTGATCAAGGAGAGAAACTGTTGTTGTTGGGGACAGTAGGGTAAAGACGATGCTGTGGAAGTGCTGCACTCAATACGTCAGCAAATCTGGAAAACTCGGCAGTGGCCACAGGACTGGAAAGGGTCAGTTTTCATTCCAATCCCAAAGAAAGGCAATGCTAAAGAATGCTCAAACTACCGCAAAGTTGCACTTATCTCACACACTAGTAAAGTAACGCTCAAAATTCTCCAAGCCAGGCTTCAGCAGTATGTGAACCGTGAACTTCCAGATGTTCAAGCTGGTTTTAGAAAAGGCAGAGGAACCAGAGGTCAGATTGCCAACATCCGCTGGATCATCGAAAAAGCAGGAGTTCCAGAAAAACATCTATTTCTGCTTTATTGACTACACCAAAGCCTTCGAATGTGTGGATCACAATCAACTGTGGAAAATTCTGAAAGAGATGGGAATACCAGACCACCTGACCTGCCTCTTGAGAAACCTGTATGCAGGTCAGGAAACACCAGTTAGAACTGGACATGGAACAACAGACTAGTTTCAAATAGGAAAAGGAGTATGTCAAGGCTGTATATTGTCACCCTGCTTATTTAACTTATATGCAGAGTACATCATGAGAAACGCTGGGCTGGAGAAAGCACAAGCTGGAATCAAGATTGCCGGGAGAAATATCAATAACCTCAGATATGCAGATGACACTACCGTTATGGCAGAATGTGAAAAAGAACTAAAGAGCCTCTTGATGAAAGTGAAAGAGGAGAGTGAAAAAGTTGGCTTAAAGCTTAACATTGAGAAAACTAAGATCATGACATCTGGTCCCATCACTTCATGGCAAATAGATGGGGAAACAATGGTAACAGTCAGACTTTATTTCTTTGGGCTCCAAAATCACTGCAGATGGTGACTGCAGCCATGAAATTAAAAGACACTCCTTGGAAGGAAAGTTATGATCAATCTAGACAGCATATTAAACAGCAAAGACATCACTTTGCCAACAAAGGTCCATCTAGTCAAGACTATGGTTCTTCCAGTAGTCATGTATGGATGTGAGAGTTGGACTATAAAGAAAGCTGAGTGCCAAAGAATTGATGCTTTTGCACTGTGGTGTTGGAGAAGACTCTTGAGAGGCCCTTGGACTGCAAGGAGATCCAGCCAGTCCATCCTAAAGGACATCAGTCCTGGGTGTTCTTCGAAAGGACTGATGCTGAAGCTCCAATACTTTGGCAGCCTGATGTGAAGAGCTGACTCATTTGAAAAGACCCTGATGCTGGGAAAGATTGAGGGCAGGAAAAGAAGGGGACGACAGAGAATGAGATGGTTGGATAGCATCACCAACTCAATGGACATGGGTTTGGTTGAACTCTGGGAGTTGGTGATGGACAGGGAAGCCTGGCGTGCTGCGCTTCATGGGGTCACAAAGAATAGGACATAAGTGAGTGACTGAACTGAACTGAGGGTAAAAACTGCAGGAAATGGGGGATAAGGGAAGGCCGGCTGGATGTGGCAGCCCCAGAAACAGCCTGCACGCTGGAGTTGCAACATCAGGAGTGCTGTTTGTAGAAAGAATCTGGTCTGAGCCCAGAGGGTTCCCTGTAGCCAATTCTGTGATGTCAGAGTTTCACGGAACAGCCCAGACAGTGGGCCTTGGTTTGGGTCCTGTGCCCAGTATGTCTTTAGGGTCTCATCTAGGAGATAAAAAGAAGAGACCTGACAAAGTATCAGAAGGGTTATGTGAGCTCCTAAAGGAATGGAAGTCGCTGTCTCTCTTGAGGCTGAGTCTGTTCAACAAGCACATCAGGTTATTTTTCCCCTTTGTTTAGTCTCTCAGTCATATCCAATTCTTTTGCAACCCCGTGGACTGTAGCCCACCAGTCTCCTCTGTCCATTGGATTCTCCTGGCAAGAATATTGGAGTGGGTTCCCATTACCTACTCTCGGGGATCTTTCCGACCCAGGGATTGAACCAGCGCCTCCAGCATTGACAGGCAGATTCTTTATTATTGAGCCACCTGGGAAGCCTCTTTCCCTGGCATTTATGAAACTTCACTTTTTGTAGTGGGTGTTGGTAATGTTTGCTTGTCTTTGGCCGCACCACATGGCCTGCTGGATCCTAGTTCCCCAACCAGGGATTGAATCTGTACCCCTGCTGTGGAAGCACAGAGTCTTAACCACTGGACCGCCAGAGAACTCTCTTAGGTTCTAAGAGAGTAAAAATACGTAAATGTATTTACAGGATCATGTTCCTTTTTGGAGATAAAACTCAGCTACTTTTCATTTACCTTCAGAACTGGTCCACTTTTCCACCAGCCGTTAAAAATAAGATAGTTCAGCCAGGGGGTGTCTCGTGTCTGCCTTTCATCTCTCTCTGTTGTACTCTCTACGTATTCTGTGAGTGTCCGAAGGCTCGTTACATCATATGAAAACACGTGTGCTCACTCACTCCTGCAAGGCTACAGTCCTAGGATCACCTTTTAAGAAGGTAATCTTAAGACAGAAAAAAACAAAAGGGAAACTTGCTTTCTCCAGCAAACAAATGTTTAGAACTTATTCTGAGAGTTTATAAGTCAAAATTATAAGTAAATTCAGGGTAGTTAGATGAATTGGGACCTGCACCATCTGAAATGCCTTAGGAGGCTGGCACACGGGATGACCACCATGCCTTCCTTCCTCCGCGTGTCCACTGGTGCATCTCTCAGAAGCAGAGGTGATCTTCTCATTGTCTTGCCCAGCTTGTGTGGTCTGCATGTTCAAGGCTGAGCATTCATGTTTGCCCCTGTGTGTTTTGCCAGGTGACCTTGGGAAAGGTGTTGAAAGTGATTGTCGTCATGCGGAGCCTGTTCATTGATCGAACGATAGTGAAGGGGTATAATGAAAACGTCTACACAGAAGATGGCAAGGTAAGCATGCTGGAGTCTTTTGTTTTCTCCGTTATTTTCTGTATCCCAGAACAAATGTAATCGAGTCCCAGATGAATGACATTAAACACTGGCAGTCATAGCTGAAATGGTCAACAAGCGTAGATTTATCAGTGTGAAGCTGAACGCTTTACAAAAAAACATTCATCTCTCTCCCCTTGCATTTTTCATCAAGCTTCTGCTTTTTTCCTTTAAGCCTGATACCCTTAGTTGAATTTCTAATTTATCACCTTGGACCCCAGTTGCCTCATTAAATGTGTCTTCTGAGGAAATGGATTTCTTTCTTTTCTTTCCTTTTTTTCTCCCCCTCCGCCTAGTCATGCAGCACATCAATAGCCCAGGGTTCAGCATTTTGCTTTTCTGAGAACCATGAGGAAAATTCAAGTTAGTCTAACACACAGCCTGCCGACCGTCTTTTTCCTCGAAACTAAGGAGTGACCCCCAGAAGTTGCTTGTCCGTAGCAGTGAGTGTTGAATACTGCCGTTGAGAAAAGATGAGTTATTTCTGTGGGTGAGCTGTGTCATAGGACGTTCACCTGTGTGGACCCCTGATTTCTCTCAACTGCACACTCTCCATATGGAGATCGAGCAGGAGAGGATGCTGATAGGAGCCGACAGGCTTCATTTGTGTTTGCTTCCAGAGCGTAATGAGCATTCTGCCAGAAAAACCCACCCAGGTACACCCTGGTCACTTCTGGCACTGAGCCTCCGTCTTCCCCTCTCCCTGGAGCTTTCCCTTCTTTTCATGAATCCCATTAAAATGTAAAAGTTTGTTAGTACCAGCACTTAGCACCCAACGGCCACGTTATAATGAGGATAGGACGCTCTCCAAAAACAGGTGACGAACGTAGCTTAGCACACACCTGTGCGTTATGTAAGAGGCGTGACCCATACAGTAACGAGGTCTGTATTTTGATCAAGGAACCCAGCATTTTCGAATTTCCACATTCCGCTCCAGTGTTGCCACTGTGGGCAGCTACTCTCACTCCCAGGGCTCTGCCAAGTTCTCATGAATCTCCCCATGGAGAGGAAAGATTCCTCAAGGGAAGCTTTCCCCCTTCTTTTTTAGAAAGACCAAAATGCCTCTGGAGCAAGGGCAGAGAATAAAAGTAGATAATCAGGGCAAGCATGACCTATGGTGTGCGTGACTCGTCAACTCTGATGACGAGTCTAAGCGAGAAATGCCAAACTTCTTTGCAACAGCAGAAGCAAGACTGGGTCGGGGGAGATCCTCGCCCAGAGCCCGAGTTAGTGGTCATTCTTGTGGCCTCTGTTCGTGATTTAAAGCTTCATAGTCACCCCTGGTGTGAGTCCCAGCCCGTGCTCTCCAAGGACTTAGAAATACATAAAAGCTCTGTGCTAAGAATGACTGTGCTAGAAGAGAAGCTGAGTTCAGGACACAAGTGAAGCATGCTCTGAACTTCGAGTGCAGGAGCAGAGGTTTTGCCCGCTCTGCAGTACCCACATCAGCCTGTAACGTGGTGTTTATTTAATTGCCCCATGCTGAAAGTGTCCAAAATCATGCAAGGGCTTTGCCACCTGGTTGATACTCAGTACATGGCAGCTGGTATTATTTTTATTCTGCACTTAAATCTGGGAGTTAGAGAGCAGTCTCATGTGTGTGTGTTCTAGAGTTTTGCTCTGATTCCTCCTCCTCAGCTGTTTGGGGTAGTTCCTTCCCTCCCCTCTTCCCACTAGACTCCCAGACTTCCCGGGGACTCCTGCACTCCTGCCTCTCGGCCACCCTTGTGTCCCTGTGGTTTCCTGTGTCCCCTCGTAGAGGTCGCTGCTGATGTGTGTCAGAATCAGACCACCTCCCCAGCAGGCCCTCAGGTTCAGCCTGTCCAAAATCAGCCTCAGTGCTCCTGGGCCGTTGCTCACCCAGGGGGACTGTGCCAGCCAACTGCTCAGGCCTGCCTCGTCCATTCAGAGTCTGTTGGCAGGCTCTGGCGAGGCTCCCTCTTCATCCCTACAGCCGGGCGCCTCCCATCCATCGCCACTTCTCCTCAGTTCTCCTGGCTTCTCCACCAAGTTGCAGCGTTGTCCTCCTCACTTCCTGTGTCTAGTCCTGCTTCCCTCCCCTGTCTGTCCTTCACTTGGCCTCCAGAGCCGTCTTCCTGAAATACACAGTCAAGGGGGTGATTTCTTGCTCTCTGCCATCTCCCCATTGCCCAGAGGAGAAAAGTGGAATATAAGATGACATCGGACACAAAGCAGTCCGTGATCAAAAGAGTTTGGGAAAGTCTGGGTTAGAGAAAGTTCAGTGGGACTCTTGACTATAGAAAATCTTAGAGACTGGAGTTTGCCTGTGTGCCTTATGAATCTCCCAAGAGGGGTATGTAGTATGCAGTCTTTTCCTAACCAGTTTGATCATACATTTTTTCCCTTCCTTTATTCTTGGAGCGTGTTGTGACATTGGCATTTGGCAAAACACCCTTCTGAAAACTCTGGCTTGTAGAATAAAATCCAGACCCCTTAGCAAGACATAGAAATGGCTTGTGATCTGGCGCCTGCCCCCTGTCCTGACCTCATCTGCCATCATTGTCGGCACACGTTTTATCTTACCTTCCAGCCTTTTGTGCTCCTTGTGGCTCTCAGAACGTTCCAGGTTCTTCCACACGCTTAACACCTGCTCTGCGCCCTTGACCTGGGTGGGGTGTTTGCACCTCCTGCTCACCTGACATGCTTACTCTTCCCTTTGCACTGATCGAACGCCATCTCTCTTCTTGTCCCCCTTCCCCTGGAGGCCTCTTCTATAGGCACGGGCTCCAGAGATGGCAGACCTGGGTTTCCCTCAACTTACAGCACAAATTATCATCATCATTCTTCACTTCAGTAGTGTTTTGAATAATCATTTTCTGGTACTAGAACTAGTACATCCTGGTTGTTTGTTGACTTGTCTACCTCGTAATTAATAAAAATACTGGCATACTCCATGTTTGTTCTGATAGGCCTTCTACAAAGCAGACTTAACCTCCAGTGGTCACAGAATCCTAGGGACCACTGCTAGACTCATGTTTCTGATAAGGAACCTGAGACCCAGAGTGGTAAAGTGGCTGCCCCCAGTCACACACAGAGCCAGTTCTCAAACCTCCATCTGCCAGCAACTCCTCAAGGGCCCAGGCTCTGTCCTGAGTGTCTCTCCCTCCCGTGGATACACATCAGGGCCTGGAACACAGCAGAGTAATAGTGTGTGGGAGGGGATAATGAAAAAGCCCCCTGGGGATGTGAAAATGCCTGAGCTGGGATGGAAAAGTGGAGAATCGGAAATTAGAGATGGGGGGGGGGATGGAAATTAGAGAGAGGTACCAGACAAGGCAGCGGGGACTGACGTCATCACTTCAGTTTAGTCGCTCAGTCGTGTCCAACTCTTTGCGACCCCATGAATCGCAGCACGCCAGACCTCCCTATCCATCACCAACTCCCGGAGCCCACCCAAACTCATGTCCATTGAGATCCAACCATCTCATCCTCTGTCGTCCCCTTCTCCTCCTGCCCTTAATCTTTCCCAGCATCAGGGTCTTTCGTCATAAGTAAAGAACAAAGGAGGTACACACATGTGCACACGGGTCATAGTTTCCTGATGAGAGATGAGCATGGGTCTCTGTTCCCCAGAAGGAAGGTTATTGTGTGCCCAGGAGCCTGAATTCTCCTGAGTCACTTCCCGGAGGGTACTCGGGAGGCCTCCTGCTCCCTGTTAAAACCGCATACATTGGCCCCAGTGATCTGCAGGGACCCTGAAAGAGCAGGACTGAGGGGATGGAGTCCTTTTGTTATTTTAAAGGCACATCTACCACATTTGGCACAGAAGTGCTCACACAACTGCTCTGCCCAGAAACTACGCCTAGTCAATTTGATCAGCGCTCCCTCCCCTTTTTTTTCAGAGTACTTTACAAATGATAAAAGAAAGTCATGCAGACATTATTAGTGTTCTCTTTTTAGAAGTGATCCTGGTATATGTGAACTTCAGTATTTATATACACTTGCATTAGTGCCATCCGTGTTTTGAACCGTCTGGCGCGTCCCAGATGAAGCGCGGCATTCAGAAGGATGTTGGAGCTTGCGGTGTGGTCCGTGAGAGCCAGTCTCCGCCTGCAGCTGTGCTCTTCCAGAGGCACAGCCCTGCATTTGCTAAGCTGGTGCCTCAGCACTTGCCTGGGGTGGACCACTGCCCGGACCCAGTAGCTGTGGCTTGGAAAGCCTTGCCTCGGCTTCCAAGGGTCCGAACTCCTCATGCCTGCGCAGTTGTGTCTTCCAAATCCAAAGTCACCAGTTTCTAAAAGGTTTGCTTAGCTACTCTGGCACGACAGTGGCCCGGAGCCACCCCCAGTTCCCAGCTCTAGCAGGTTCCTCCCCCACCCATTACAGTCCCACCAAGCCTATCTGTCACTAACAACCACCACCTCTACCCTGATCATCCTCTTTACCTGGGATGTGTATTTTTGATGCCAAGCACCAGTAGATTAATTCCTCTAATAAAATACAAAAATGCTTCTAAGACTTTGCCGCCCCGCTCTGCATTGTCATCAGGGAGGAGCCCAGAGCCCTGACTCAGCATGCTAAGAGTCCGCTTGAGGTTGACTACCTGGCTGCTGTTCTGACTTCACACAGTCAGACCTAGCTGGAAAAAAATGCAAGTGTCTCCGTTGAATTTATCTTATTAGGGGATTTAGGTTATGTTAATGCTATAGCTTCATTAATTACCCCGTATCAATAATAAAAAAAAAAAAAGCAGCTTTTAGCCTCCTAGCGCAAGAGAGGAGAAGAAATGGTGGTATCAAAGGGAACCTTCAAAGACAGCCAGAGCTGTCTCCAGGGTAATTTCTGATCCCCGCATTCTTCCCACTTCAAAGTTGGATGTGTGTGTGTGTTTGGGTCGAGGAGGCTGGGGGAAGCTTGAATCTGATTTCTCTAATAAGTGTTGGCACCAGCCCTGTTTGATATTAGATGCAGGGAACATTTTGATTTGTTATAGCCTTTGAAATTGTTCAGACGACCTTCAGGAAAATGGCCTCTTGTTACTGGTGGGGGAAGGGGAATCCGGTTTAAGTCGTATGCCGAGGGTGCCCGGAAACGGTGCTCTCAGCATTTTTTTTTTTTAGTAACAAATGTATGTCCTGATTGAAAGTGAAAAGTTGAAGAAGAGCAGACCTGTAAAACTCCTTCACTTTTCTATTCTCTGGGGGAGAGTGGGCAGACTTAAGCGGATGACCCAGTAGAAGTTTGTGGCTTGGACAACTTGGATGACCATCAAGGAATCCATCACCATTGCAGGTTTATAGCACCTCCTGACCCATCGCCTGTTGACCTTGCAGGATAAAGCTACTAGGAAATGAAAGCTCTAGATGTTGAAGTCTCTGTGAGGCTTACAAGTTTTATTTGGAAGTTTCAGTGTCAGATCATTTATAGTTCATTGTAGTTTTTTTTTTTGAAATGAAGAACTGATAACTTTCTTATGAGCTGCCATCATTTTCACTTGCCGCTAAAGGAATTTTAGTGCCGATGGTTGTCACATGACCTGACCTGGAAGGTTTGTCATCTTGAACTTTGCAAGAATGCCCCCTGCCCTTTGAACTGTGACAGCTTGGGGGGGCACCATGTGCATCCCCTTCCATCTGGATTATAGTTGTAGGGCCCTCTTATTCCTGGGTTAAGAGCTGGGGCCTCTTTTTTTTTTAACTGTTAATTTTGTATTGGGGTATAGCCAATTAACAATGTTGTGGTGGTTTCAGGTGAATAGTAAAGGGACTCAGTCATATATACACATGTATCCATTCTCCCCCAAACTCCCCTCCCATCCAGGCTGCTATATAACATTGAGCAGAGTTCCCTGTGCTATACAGTAGGTCCCTCTTGGTTGTCCATTTTAAATAGAGCAGTGTGTACGTGTCCATCCCAAACTCCCTGGCTGTCCCGTCCCCCGATCCTTCTCCCAGCAACTATAAGTTGGTTCACTAAGAATCACTGACCCGATTTTGAATTCTCTCCCACATATTAATTGTGTGATGTTGGACAAGTCGCTTAACTTCTCTGAGTTCAGGTTCCTCAGCTGTGGATTGGAAATAATTTTATCATCACCATGTGACTGCTGAGAGACTTTAGAAAGATAACACAGGTCAGTGTAGGCTAAGCACATAGTCATCAGCAAACAGTATCCATCCTCCGTGGTGGTGCCAGACATGCCGATGGTGGTGACTGCCATCATAGTCAGCATCGTTGGCCTACCGATCTGGGGATGTTTGGATTTTTCTCTTTGCTGAGTAAAATTGGCTGTCACTGCTGTCACTGGTTCTTCCTGTGCCTCGAGAGAACCTTTGATGTCTGACATGAAACCTGAGAGCAGGTGTGTCTGTGCTGAAGCAGCTGGTCATTGTGGGGTGCGTTTCCATTTTACCTGAGAAGAGACCACATTCCCACCTATAAAATACTCACTCTGATCCCTGGAGTCCGACAGGCTGCTCCTAAGACGTCAGGTTCAGCCCCAATTACCGGAAAGTTGACTTTTCCATTTTAAGATCTTTCTTAGTCCTGCCCAGAGTACTGGGGGGGACACTTTCATTTGTTTTTCTTGACACTATAGTTCAGAATCATTTCTCATTCATGGGGCTGAAAGCTTTGTAGCTTTCAGAATCCTCATTTTTGAGTATTGCAGCCAACAAAGAATCAGTAGCCATGCCCTCCTCTTCGACAAATAAGCTGAAGCTAATAAATATGCACTTGGCTCCATCCCGGCTCCCTGAAATGAGTTTCTGAAATCTTCTGGCCCTGAGGAGAGGCAGGGCACTGACTTCAGAACACTTGCTTGAACGGCTTTCTTTGGCATAAATCTAGCAGAAAATCAAGGACAAACTGCCTGCTGTGCCTTCCCAGCAAAGGGGGAAGCCATTGTCTTTGGATCCCTCTCTCAGCCCCGCGCACCTGGGAGACAGTTGTATTCCTAATGTCCTTCTATCCCAGATGGTCAGAACCAGTCCCTGGGGTCCTGAATAATGTATTTAAACCACCTTCCAAAAGAGCAGTGTGCTCACTTGGAATGAGCAAAGTATGTTTTGAGAAATCACAGTTTAGCTAGAGGGTCCACCCCTTAATTAAACCTGTGCATACTTCTCTCTGGATAATTTTTCTATTTAAAACATTTTGCAGGTTCTTGGTTTTTTTTTTAATATATGTATATAATTTTCTCTTTTAAATGAAGACTAACTTTTCAGTCTATATGCCGATTCTTCCTTTTTTCTCTTTCCGTGGCCCTGTGTTTATGTCTGCCTGTGTGTGATGGGAACAGACAGGAAGGATAAGCAGCAGAGAACTTCGGCGGCAGCAGCTGTGGGCTGAAAATGGAAAGAGAGCTAGATTCGTTCCAAGTTCAGACACTGATGTGATTTTTCCCAAAATTTAGATTTAGAATCTTTGGCATCTCCCTGTCATCTTGGCACTGATCTGGTGAAACTAAAAGATACAAAAAGTCGTTCTCATTCCTTCCCCAATGTCTGAGTAGTCTTTAAATGTAATGTTTGTGAAGCTCTGGGCTAAACTGCGACACTAAGATCATGATATGAACCTGACTTATCCTCCCAAATATGACCAGCTGCCTAGCAATTTTCTTCAACAGAACTGCCAACATAGGGAATTAATAACTTCTATGTGTATTTGGAGGTTTCCTTCAGAGTTATCTGGGGGTAATATGTCACTTTTCTCCCTTTAAATTGCTAACCTATCCAATTGAAAATCTAATGTCTGAAGATGTTTAAAATTCTTAATCCATCCATTAGTTTAAAGTGCGGGGCAGTGACTAAAAACTGACACCCTCTTTCTGGAGAGCAGTTCAGCCAGAGTGGAAGGAGAGGGGTCAGGTGGGGGCTTCTGTGGAAATGTAGGGAGGACGCGGTTCTGCAGTGGGCTTGGTGGGAAGCAGACCGATTGAGATCAGCGTTCAGTCACAGCTCTTCCTTCATTGTTCCTGGGCTTGATCTGCTAAACTTACCCTCTCCAACAGGAACCTACCAAGGACCAGAGAGGGTGGGGGGCTCCTCCAGACCACCCAGGAAGAGCCAGAAGAACGGCGCGCATGCCTGTTCCCAGTCCAACCTTTCTCTTCCAAGGACGGCTTTCAGAAAGCCCTCAGAACAGAGACAGAATTCCAGCCTGCCCCACATCAGGCGCAGCGCTTCCGGTCTCCCTAGAGCAGCCTCCCCAGCTGACGGCTCCTTATGCTCCCAGTCGCTCGAGAGTCAACACACAACACACAGGCTGAAGTAGCCGTGTCTCAGCTTCCCACCATGACCACCGGCCAACTCCAAAGGCAGATTTCAAGAGGCCCACTGACTGGGCATTTCAATTTGCTCCACTCTTGAACTCGTATATTAAGGCTGACTTCTGAGCACCCGTGGGACCTCCTGACAGCCCCTCTCTTAATCTGCACTGTTTCCTCACTGTATTGGGGGTAGTTCTGTTTTTGCCATACTCCCTTTTGTTCTAACCTCTTGAAACAGTGAGAAGGCATTGATTTAACTTCTCATACAACCTGTCAAACCAGAGTGGCTTTGGTTAGACTGAGCCACGGAGCATCCCGTTCAGGACCGAGTGTGGCCCAAGGACTGGATTCTGAACTCTGCCCACATTTCATCTCAGACCTCTGTTTCCCCAACCAAGGGTTCCTGATACAGGGCTTCATCACAGTGAACCTATGGAGCCCTGTGAAAACAAATGGACAAATCAATATATCCTCGGGCCCACTCCAGACCTCCTAATTCAGACATTCCAGGGAAGGGACCGAGAAATCTGTAGATTAAAAAACAAAAAATTCCCTCAGGGCCTCTGATGCCAGCCAGATTTGAGCACCACCAAGCGAACCCATCCATAAGAAGCTTCCCCAGATTACCATGGGCAGTCTAATGGCTCCAAACGCAGTCTCACCATCTGGGAGGGAAGGTTGCTGATAGGACCAGCTCCCCGGGCTCGTCCTGGGGAGTGGCGGGGCAGGGCACATGGAAGGCCCAGTGCGGGCCTGGTAGGGAGCAGGTGCTCACCAGCGGGAGTCTGCTTTCCTCCCCGTGTACCTGTGACATGCCCCGTCCTGTGCCGGGACAGTGCAAACAAAAGAAAGCAAGTGTCAGTCAGTTCTAAGTGTGATGAAAATATTTAGTTTTTGAAAGGATAAAGAGAAGCAAGACAACAGGTACGGGGATGATACTTTAAGACAGAGGCGGTGCCTCTCTGACAAGTGACGTTTGAGCCAAAGGACGGTACAAGGAGCTGTGCGAGGGTTTGTGGGGGAAGCAGTCCAGGCACCACAGGCGCAGAGGCCCTGGGGCAGGGCTGGCCGTGGCAGTCGAGCGATGCAGGAGCGCCGAGGCGGGAGTCAGTGTCAGAACAGTGAGCCCGAGGCTCAGCTCATGGGCCGTGGGCGCGGCAGGCACCTCGAGCTGACTTCTTTATGTCTCTTCATTTCATCTCCTTAAATCACCACGGTTGATAAAGAAGAAATCCCAGCATGTGTTTTTCTTATAGTCAAAGGATTTTTTCAAGCTTAGTAACAGTAGTTACAATATCATTTCTTGGAGTCCACAGTTCTAAAATTGATGCTGATATTTTATCTCTTTCCCCCACAGCTTGATATATGGTCCAAATCCAACTATCAAGTGTTCCAGAAGGTGAGTTTTCCTTTTTGCTTCTTCCTCAAGAGGCTTTTAGGGAAATGCAATGACTTCGAGGTGGAAATATTGGTCTTAAATCAGAGACCTTTTAAATAGTGAAAAAGCCAGACCCAGAAGTCTGCTCACTGTGGGATTCCATTTATGTGACATTCTGGAAAAGACAAAACATCAGTGACAGAAATCAGAGCGGTGATTGCCAGGGCTTGGGAGTGAGGGCAGGAGATGCTCCCCGGAGGGGTATTGAAGAACATGTCTGGGTGATGGGAATACTCTTTGTCGTAATTATGGGATCACACAACTGTATGTTTCAAAACTCACAGACTATATGCCTACAGAGGGCAAATTTTACTATGTAACAATTATACATTTAAAGAAAAAATCAGAGGCTTTTGAGTTCTCCCAAGATCAACCCACAGTTTTGTTTGTTTATTTCTTTCTTTTTGGCTGTGCTGGGTCTTCGTTGCCATGTGCGGACTATCTCTAATTGCAGGGAGCGGCGGCCACGCTAGCTGTGGCGTGCAGACCTCTCACTGCACTGGCTTCTCTTGCTGTGGAGCGCTGGGCTCCGGGGCCTGTGGTCTTAGTGGTTGTGGTGCTTAGCTGCCCCCTGCCCCCAGCATGTGGGATCTTCCCGGACCAGGGATTGAACCCTTGTCTCCTGCCTTGGCAGGTGGATTCTTAACCACTGGACCACCAGGGAAGTCCCACCGCACAGTTTTTAAATTCAGTTTCCCACAGCCCTGTAATCTACACACGTGCCTAAAGGCTGGGCTGAAGGAGGCAGGCTGGCCCCACCCTCACCCTGCCCCCACCCCCACTCTGCACTGCAGTGTGGGGTACATCTTTTTCAGGTGTCGGGCTCCCTGAAAGAGAAATACTATCTGGGAGATGTCAGAAAAAGAGGAAATGTGACCAGAGAAAATCCATCTCCCAGCTCCCAGTGGTGGAAGGGTCCCTTCCCTGGACCAGCTCAGTACCTGGGGCTTCTGAGGGCTCCTCCCACGGTGCTCAGGCCAGCTCCCCTGCAGGGCACCAGCCTCCTTCTTCTGTGCCCTCCAGCCTGTCTCTGCTTCCGTCCAGCAGTGCAAATGATAGAGGAGGCCGTCAGTCCGCTTGTTGCCTCCTCGTTCAGCAGCGGTTATTTATTTGCCCCTTTGCCGTGTGCGGGTTCTGGGCTCAGTGCTACAGGGGAAACAAGACAAAGGGAGAGAGGGTCAGGAAGGGACTCCAGGCTGGTACCTGGGGGCTGTGGTCAAGGACAGGAGGGTCTCCTTCACTTCAGAGTGATCACAGGAGTCCTTTATGCAACATGAGTTAAACCAAGACAGGAGGCAGGTGAAGAAGCCAGCCGTAAGCCACGGGAAGAGGGTCCCAGGCTGAGGAAGTACAGCGCTGAACCCCGTGTGGAGGGGGGACTTGGCATAGCCCTGCACCACGGGGGCCCGTGTGATGGAGCAGACAGACGGAGGGCAGGTGGGAGAGAGTGGGATTTGGGGCCTGGCCAGCAGGTGCCTCTCAGTCTTGGTGCAAAACTTGAATTTTATTCTCAAATCAGTGAGGAACCACTGGGGAGGGATTGGTGTGGAGGAAGGACAGGATTTTCAGAGCTGGGTCCGAGTTAGCCCACTTGAGTAACAACTGTGTCCGGGGTATGCCAGTAGCTCAGCATAGGATAGTAGTGGTGGTTTTTTCAATTGAGGCAAAATTCATGTAACAAAACTTACCATTTCTAATCGTTTTACAGTCAGCAGTTCCATAGCTTTGAGTACTTTCACAGCATTGTACAACCATCACCTCTGTCAAGTTCTAGAACATTGTTCTCATCCAAAGGGAAACCTTGTTCCCATTAAGGCCTGGGCCCTGGGCTTCTTGGGCTTCCCTGGTGGCTTAGGCGGTAAAGGTCTGCCTGCAGCGCAGGAGACCCGGGTTCAATCACTGGGTCGGGAAGATCCCCTGGAGAAGGAAATGGCAACACCCTCCAGTACTCTTGCCTGGAAAATTCCATGGACTGAGGAGCCTGGTAGGCTATAGTCCATGGGGTCGCAAAGAGTTGGACACGACTGAGCAACTTCACTTTCTTTCTGGGCTTCGTATCAAAGGAGCATGATGGACCAGCCTCTGATGGTGACTGACGTACCTCAGTTCACAGCACTGTCTGGACCCCTCTCCAGTGAAAGGGGGAAGCCAGGGATAGATGTCCAGGGCTGGGGAGGGTCTGAGGCTTACCCCCACTTGTCTAGGGAGCGTGTGCAAGCAGGAAAACATCCTGGTCTTATCATGGCTATGTGCACTGTGCTGCCCTGGATTGGATCCTGAGCCAGAAAGGACTTACTAATGGAGAAACTGGTGAAATCCAAATAAAGTCTGGGCTTGACTCAGTCACAAGTAACCCCAACATTGGTTTCTTGGTTGTGATGAGCCTACCTGCTAATGACAGATGCTAACAGCGGGGAAACTGGGTAAAGGGTCTGTGGGAACGGTATGTACCATTTCTGCAGCGTTTCTGTAGGCCAGAAATTAGTCTGAAATTTAAAATTCATCTTAAAAAGAAAAATCCTAGTGTGGACTTTTCTAACACGTCTTTACCCAACTGAGGTACCCAGACACAGAAAGGAAAAAACAGCCTCCCTCTCTGGGTCCAGCCCCTAAAGGAAAGACGTCCATAGTCACGTGAGGCTAGCATAGGCGACACCGTGTTAATCCAGGCGCTCTTACCTAGGTGACCAGACCCACTATACCTGTTCAGCTCACACAGAGCCTCGGCCTTAACTGCTAACTCTGTCCATGCCAACGGCTCTTGTCGTTTCTCCCCCAGGAGCTGGTTGAAAAGCATTCTGAGGAGAAAGAACGCTGCTTGTTATCTGTATCTTGTTTCCCTCTCACAGTGAGGAACATTAAAATGGTTTGGATTTGTTTTGTTTTTTAACCTGGTTTATCTTCGCGTCCTCTGGTGTTGCAGTTCGTTACTTTCTGGCTCCAGGGAAGGCAGGCCATGACTTCAGCCCCTCCCCCGCCTGCCCCCCGGCCCCCCAGCATCACGGAGGATAACCCGGGATTTTAACAATGGTCCAATTTCCATTCAAATACGCTTCATGAGGGAGGGCCTTGCCCAGGCTTGCCTTGGCAAATAAATTTCTTAACGTTCTGTGTGGTATTAAGTATTTTTGAATGCAAGTGGAAAGTTTATTAGGAAGTTGTAAAATGTGTGAAACACAGATTTGGTGAAGCACGGATTTAGAGAGAGAGTGCTATATTTGTATTCTACTGCCCCTAAAAATAACCTGCCAATCGTTCTTTATATGTCTTTAAAACTACAAACACGGTGCGGCAGGGTTTAAAATTTGATATTAGCTAGTTGGAGAGACTCTGGCGCACCCACCACTTCCCTCTTTGTAGTTGATGTAACCTGTTCGAAGCAGTGGAAGTGGAAGAATTGGTAGAGATGGGGATTTTCTCTCAGCTGGTGAATGGCGTGCTGTCTGTGTTTGTTCAGAGCAGTCATCCCTCCCCTCACCTATATTTTAACTAAATGGACTTGACCTCTGAGACTGACCTGCACTAGATTAAAGAGTGACAATTTGGAGGCAGGAGAGAGTGCTTTCTGATGAGAAGGAAAGGCAGGTGATGTTAAGATCCTTTTTCTCTTTTCAGGGGCAGGTAATAGTTACTGGATTACAGAATCCACTCCCTTCCCTCCCGAAACATTCTCTTTGCTGTCAAATGAAGAAATATATTGGAAAATGACATAGCACAGAATTGAGTTGAATCCTTTATCATCGAAGTCACATGGCAGGGCGTCGGGATCTTGTTCTCTTGGGAGACGCTGGTGAAGAGGATGAGGAATGTGTAGAGTGGAATCACGGCGGGGCAGGGTTGTGACCGCACTGGGCTTACTTCATTGTGCTCGTCTCAGGCCCTGTTGGAGGTCGGAGGGCAGCCCTATCTATGCCACAACCAGACCGCCCACTGAAAGCAAGTCCGGGGCCATATGTTCCCTACAAATTCTGAAGGCCGGGTGCAATTGATGGGATGATGTTCAGCATTTCAAACTCAACATGCCAAAGGATGAGATGAGGTGGCGGCATTTTCCAACTCTGCTTTTAGTATCAGCTTTTTCTTAGAATTCTGCTTTCTTCCTGTCCGCCCACGTAAAGTCTAGGTGTCCTGATCGATGTTTCTTGTAGTGTTTCCCAGAAAGACGCTGCTGGGGATCGCAGTGGTGAGCCTTCCCTTCTGCCCGTCATCCGCCCACTGACGCCCACCCAGCAGCCCAACCAGGGGAGACTCACTGAGCAACCCTGATCCAGGAAGATCGACCTGGAACAGAAGTCAAAGTGACTGAGAAAGTGCGAGGTCAGGGAGGATCCTTGGTCACCAGCGAGAAGGCATTTCTCGGGCAGGAATGTGTCCTAACCGTGTAGGTAGATGGCGGAGCTGAGCCCCTGCGCTGAGGTGGGGACACTGGCTGCCAGAATGGCTGTCCAGGCATCACCTGGGGAGCTCTCTCTGCATTGCCCTGGGGTCGAGCCCTAGCACTCCCTTTCCTAGGCACTCATTATGTGGTTGCAGTTGCTGCGGATCGTGTGTGTTTTCTTGCCCACAAGTAGCAGCGGTGGCCACTGCAGAAAGAGGCCTGATGGGAAGGCGGAAAGCCCTCCCAGGTCTTTCCCCGCAAAGTGACAAAGCTGGGGCTGGGAGGGGGCGTTGACTCACAGAGCCATGCCAAGCTCACAGTTGCCTTTTTATTTCTGGAAACTCATAGCTGTCAAATTCTCCTCGGTCTGATCCTGGCTCCCCAGGTTAAAGACAAGCACGCAAGGTACCAAGGTAAATCCGACCCCCGGAAGCTAGCTTGACCTGCCTTTTGTCTGCTACAGGGCCTGTCGGCGAGCCCTTTCCCTCGTCCTCATTAGCCCCCTTCCCCGGTGGTGGGGCGCAGTGGAAGGCCAGGGACAGCTGCCCGTGGGTCCGCGACTGCCAACAGGCCCCCGGCATTT